GCACATGTGCTTGATTTTCAAAGAGTACACGCAAGTACAAATGGTCAAGAAGTAATGGTAAGTCTGAAGTTAAACTATTGAAATTATAAGGAATTTAGAAAAAAAGGTAAAAGAAGAACTAAGGTGGTGTTCAAATTGTATCTGGAAAACATGTTTTCAATTTTTGGGTACAAAAGATATGTTAATATCTGATTGGATATGGAGTTTTTTTTTAAAACACTTTTGAAAAACAATGAGATTTAAAAAGAGATTTTAGGGAATAGGTAAAGGATGTTTTGTGCGTTTTGAAGATAAAGAGGGGGGGGGGGGGAATTTAAAAACATGGAGAACACTATGCACTTTTCTACTCTGCCCTTAATTGGGTAGTATAAGAGCCCATTCCTTTGTCTTTTCTCTCTCCCNTAAAGGGGGGGGGGGGGGGAATTTAAAAACATGGAGAACACTATGCACTTTTCTACTCTGCCCTTAATTGGGTAGTATAAGAGCCCATTCCTTTGTCTTTTCTCTCTCCCGGAACCTCTTCTCTGAAATTCTCTTCTCTCTCCCCGATGGCCAAAGCTCTACCCCTCGCTTCACTTCCACCCTGGAGACTGAGAGCTATTTGGCGAAACTTCCTCGATTGAGTAGGCGTGTTCACCATAGATCTAAGGATCCATGACTCAACGCAAATTGCAACAAAATGATTCAGATCTGTGGTTTATTCCTTCGGATTTGAGGACTCATGACTCAACCTCAGCCTTCAATTGATCCTCCAAAGGCAAAAACGATCCAGATCTGTGGTTTATTGGTTTAGATCTGTTGATTTTGTGTGGCGATTGTTTCTGATCTAGTGATTTTTTTTTTGTATATCAAATCTTTCTTTATTTTTTTGATACTGGTTGTTGTATATCTGGTTGTTAGATCTTTATTTTTTTGTAAATCAAATCTGTCTTATTATTAGGTCTATTGCTTCTATCAGATTTGTTGATTCTGTCTATTGCTTCTATTAGATTTGTTGATTCTGTGTGGCTATTGTATATTGCCAAATCTGTTGCTTAAAGAGCTCAAAATTGGTGTATACATAAAAGTAAAAAGACTGTGAATCCTCTTCAAAAATAGCATTCAAATTCATATTTCACTTGAATATGAAACAAGAATTGAAATCATGTGGCGATTGACATAAACTACTTAAGTTAATAAACAAGTGGTGATGCTTGATGTTTAAGGTTAGGTGTAACTTCCATAGATTGACCACAAAAGTAGCATAATTTTTTTTTTTTTTGTAACTTGTTCTATTTGTTCAATTGGTGTTCAGTTTTCTATAAATTGTTCTATTTTTTGATTTTTCTGTCCAAACATGCTATTTTTTATTTCTTAGAACTATTTTTTAGTCAAATAACAAAACAAGCTTTGCAAAACAACACATATGCCCATAATTCGAGCTCGATTGTTGCATAGTTAGAAGCCAATTCACAAAATGTTCATAAAATACACTTTTATAACTCTTTAAATTTTTTTTCGAATACCGCAAAAATCGGGTACATTGGACATGGGAGTCAAAAGTGTTGATCAATATAACCTTATTTTCAAGCATCTTTGTCCGAACCTTAAATTCTAGAATTCTTTACTAATCAAATTCTAAATGAATTTTATCATGACTCGACCTAAAAAAATTGTCAAGATTTAAACTTATTACGTCTGAATTTATAATTCGTCTCTCTCGTCTTTATTACCATTTGAGTTACTAATTTGGCTCATTTTGTTATTATATTAAAAATTAATGAATTAGATAAAATAATTTAATCTAATACAATACAGATAAATAAAAATTATGATTAAATTGGGTATTTGAATATTACGTAATTTTATTTAGTGTTTGACAATACACAATATAAATATTGGATAGTAGTTATTTAATCCAATCGATTGTATGGTTAGGAAATTATTTCATTGTATTAATGTTAAATTAACAAAAATATCATCAATCAATGTTTGTTACATTGATGACAGCTGGGTTTAATCAATTGGGGGATTATAATAATAAATGTGAAGAATAATACGTTTGAATTGGATTATAATAACATCTCTCTTGGTGGTATTACACAATACAGGTCTATCGTACAAAAAATATAAGATTAATATATATTTTTGAAATTCATACGGTATTAAATTTACTTACCAAATAAAGTATTATACCCGATTAAATAAAAAATAGTATAATCTAATATTTAATCTCTTCATAATACGTCTACCAAATGGATCCATTATGATTATGGTATAATAAATTGAGCAATTCTATTTGGACTTAATTTATTTACTTAATTTGTTGATTTTATTCATCATAGTCATTGAATTGATTATGAGACTCATCAAACATTGAAACATGATATTAATTCAATTGTTACAATGCAATCATATCATTAAATCAGCATATTAAATAAAATTTTTAAGCCTAAATAACATTACTTAATCAATGCCAATAAATTTTGCATCAAAATCACTCTCACATAGATTGAGAACAGAGAGGTGGCTAATCCAGGAGAATTACTTTAATTGCCATTTAATGGCATGTACCTAGGCTCCAACTGGGATAAGAACAACAATAACTATGAGAGAAAAAATACTATACCTGTTTCTTTCATCATTCACATTGACGTATGTTGGTATTCGTAACCACATGTGCGCTAAGCAAGACCTCCCTTGTGCAACTCTCTCTCTCTCTCTCTGAAGATGAAGAGCTCCATGAGTTCTTTCCAAACTGCTGTCCTCTTGCTGCTGCTAATCATGGCCGCTGGTTCTTTCTCTTTCTTATTTGATGGATTTTGAGTCACTTAATTGACATTCATGCTTTTTGGCCAAGCATTCCACAGTTTTGCTTTCGATGTTTTATTTTATTTTTTATTTTTTGGGTCGTGTTACACCATAAGACTCATTTTCACACCAAGAAAAAAATTATTAATTAATGTATTTTAGACCATTTTCTGGCAAAGACATCGTAAAGAGCATNTTGACATTCATGCTTTTTGGCCAAGCATTCCACAGTTTTGCTTTCGATGTTTTATTTTATTTTTTATTTTTTGGGTCGTGTTACACTATAAGACTCATTTTCACACCAAGAAAAAAATTGTTAATTAATGTATTTTAGACCATTTTCTGGCAAAGACATCGTAATGAGCATGGTGCCTGAGTTACATGATTCTTTTTTTTATTTCATGTTATTTTTTTTTTTTTTTTGTGTTTTCACAGAAATGGGTCCAATGAAAGCGGAAGCGAGGTTATGCCAGTATAAGAGCAAACGGTTCTGGAACCCATGCTTCAGTGATACTAACTGTGCTGCTACTTGCATTAAAGAGGACAACGAGAACAACGGCGGGCACTGCACTGGTTTAAGTCGCCGCTGCTTTTGCTACAAACTTTGCAACTGAATGGAAGGATGCTTTCAAACGTCAGTGGAGCCACTGGATGATCTAATAATAGCTTCTTTTCTATTGCTTGCCCAACTATAAAAAAAAGTGGAAACTACTTCTACCCATGGTTTATGTTATAAGGAACCCATATGAGAGTTTCTCTTAAAAGGTTTAAGTTCTCTCTCTCTCTCACCAGTGCACACGCTCATGCAAGCCTACGAACATATTGGTTTATAATTCGAATCCAATTCAAATTTGAATCACTTGGTTTGATAATTATTGAAGTTTTTAATTGATTATTTGAATCACAACTTGAATCAGTAATATTATATTTCTCAAAGTGAGATTTAGTTATTAAAATTCAATTCTATTCATTTATTCAAAAAAAAATTTCCATTGAATATTTAGTTTCTAACGAATTCGAATATATGTTATGAAAATGGTATCGGTCGCTCATGCACGCACAAAGACATTGCTGGGGACATGACATGTGGAAAAAAAGGGGAAATTTGATGGCCGGTCGTTTATAGAGATTTTTTTGGCCATAAAGTTTAAGTGTTATTCTTTTGGGTCATTATTAAGGACAATTGCACTCACAATGACTAATTTATTTTTAATGACATAATGGGTGATATTCTAAAATGGACAGTAACAATGCCAGTAATTGTAATATAGTGACAGTAGTAGCACAGTAATACAACGACAATAACATAATTAGGAATGTCAGAATATGATACGACTCATTAACAAAACATGAATACGATTCAAAATTATAGTGTTTGAGTCTTCCTTAAGTCATCCGTTTTGTAAATATGTGGATCCGATACGACACGATTAATAAATAAATCAGGTATAGGTGATGTCAATTAAAATAAAAACACAATGCAACTCGTTTATATACCGGTTATAAACCAGATATGAAACAATTCGTTAAACATGAATAAATAAATGATCGAGTATGAGTGAATAGTTTTTTAATATCACCCAGATCAAACAATAGGCTCAATAGACATCATGATCTTCTACTGTATATCCTTCCACACCAAAATTCTGAATGCAATGTGAGTTGCAATTTTTCAAATTCTCTCACTACCTTTTCTAAATGTGAAGATAAAGATTATGGTTGCGAGAACCTTGGAGTGCATTTGTTTATATGCTATAGTAGAGACATTAACGATAAATAAGGATTGGGCTTAGAAATCATATATTCAACTTAGGACAAACATCTTATGGTTTATTAATAATAAATTAATACACTAAAAACTTATTATTAATCTTCTAGGTCTTATCTCAAAATTATATTTCGAGTTCTCTATTATTATATGCTTAATAATCTTCTCACATTTAAAATTACAAATGTCTGTCAATTAATTAAACTATTGACAATTATATTTAATCAACTTTTTTTTATCANTGAATCACTTGGTTTGATAATTATTGAAGTTTTTAATTGATTATTTGAATCACAACTGGAATCAGTAATATTATATTTCTCAAAGTGAGATTTAGTTATTAAAATTCAATTCTATTCATTTATTAAAAAAAAAATTTCCATTNTAAGCAAGACCTCCCTTGTGCAACTCTCTCTCTCTCTCTCTGAAGATGAAGAGCTCCATGAGTTCTTTCCAAACTGCTGTCCTCTTGCTGCTGCTAATCATGGCCGCTGGTTCTTTCTCTTTCTTATTTGATGGATTTTGAGTCACTTAATTGACATTCATGCTTTTTGGCCAAGCATTCCACAGTTTTGCTTTCGATGTTTTATTTTATTTTTTATTTTTTGGGTCGTGTTACACTATAAGACTCATTTTCACACCAAGAAAAAAATTGTTAATTAATGTATTTTAGACCATTTTCTGGCAAAGACATCGTAATGAGCATGGTGCCTGAGTTACATGATTCTTTTTTTTATTTCATGTTATTTATTTTTTTTTTTTGTGTTTTCACAGAAATGGGTCCAATGAAAGCGGAAGCGAGGTTATGCCAGTATAAGAGCAAACGGTTCTGGAACCCATGCTTCAGTGATACCAACTGTGCTGCTACTTGCATTGAAGAGGACAACGAGAACAACGGCGGGCACTGCACTGGTTTAAGTCGCCGCTGCTTTTGCTACAAACTTTGCAACTGAATGGAAGGATGCTTTCAAACGTCAGTGGAGCCACTGGATGATCTAATAATAGCTTCTTTTCTATTGCTTGCCCAACTATAAAAAAAAGTGGAAACTACTTCTACCCATGGTTTATGTTATAAGGAACCCATATGAGAGTTTCTCTTAAAAGGTTTAAGTTCTCTCTCTCTCTCACCAGTGCACACGCTCATGCAAGCCTACGAACATATTGGTTTATAATTCGAATCCAATTCAAATTTGAATCACTTGGTTTGATAATTATTGAAGTTTTTAATTGATTATTTGAATCACAACTTGAATCAGTAATATTATATTTCTCAAAGTGAGATTTAGTTATTAAAATTCAATTCTATTCATTTATTCAAAAAAAAATTTCCATTGAATATTTAGTTTCTAACGAATTCGAATATATGTTATGAAAATGGTATCGGTCGCTCATGCACGCACAAAGACATTGCTGGGGACATGACATGTGGAAAAAAAGGGGAAATTTGATGGCCGGTCGTTTATAGAGATTTTTTTGGCCATAAAGTTTAAGTGTTATTCTTTTGGGTCATTATTAAGGACAATTGCAGTCACAATGACTAATTTATTTTTAATGACATAATGGGTGATATTCTAAAATGGACAGTAACAATGCCAGTAATTGTAATATAGTGACAGTAGTAGCACAGTAATACAACGACAATAACATAATTAGGAATGTCAGAATATGGTACGACTCATTAACAAAACATGAATACGATTCAAAATTATAGTGTTTGAGTCTTCCTTAAACCATCCGTTTTGTAAATATGTGGATCCGATACGACACGATTAATAAATAAATCGGGTATAGGTGATGTCACTTAAAATAAAAACACAATGCAACTCGTTTATATACCGGTTATAAACCAGATATGAAACAATTCGTTAAACATGAATAAATAAATGATCGAGTATGAGTGAATAGTTTTTTAATATCACCCAGATCAAACAATAGGCTCAATAGACATCATGATCTTCTACTGTATATCCTTCCACACCAAAATTCTGAATGCAATGTGAGTTGCAATTTTTCAAATTCTCTCACTACCTTTTCTAAATGTGAAGATAAAGATTATGGTTGCGAGAACCTTGGAGTGCATTTGTTTATATGCTATAGTAGAGACATTAACGATAAATAAGGATTGGGCTTCAAATGGGCTTAGAAATCATATATTCAACTTAGAACAAACATCTTATGGTTTATTAATAATAAATTAATACACTAAAAACTTATTATTGATCTTCTAGGTCTTATCTCAAAATTATATTTCGAGTTATCTATTATTATATACTTAATAATCTTCTCACATTTAAAATTACAAATGTCTGTCAATTAATTAAACTATTGACAATTATATTTAATTAACTTTTTTTTATCTTTAAGATCTTACCACTCAACTTATTTGTCGTGTCGGATAATTAAATCCACCTACAGAGTTTGACATGGTCTCAAGAGGATATTATCAATCCATTTAATTACCAAGACGTAGTTTTCTTTATTAATTAATTTACATCATACAAATAATGTCATATCCCAATTCATTGAGTTTGTTGACTCAAATATGAATTTTACTCTTTTATGAATTAAAGTAACAATCATTATATATACGTGTCAAGTAAATATCTCAGGATTAAGAGGTTAAACAATCATAATAATCCTGAAGTATTTATTTTCTTAGTTAATCAGTAAAAAGAAAATAACCTCAATAATGGTCATGTTCAATACACAAAGTATACTAGTGCAACAATCCAAGACATCAGACAATCTGCTATAGCCCAGATCAACTCTGCTAGAAGATTGCACTACAATCCTCCTAATGGTGTGTTCAATTCCATTTGATCAGTACATAATATTGCATGATTTTATTTCTCAAACCATTTATCTTATCTTTGTTTATTAGTTATATGTTTAGTTTTAGTTTAGTTTTGTATTTTATATGAAATTTTGGTATTTGTGGGTAGTCTAAGTGTAAAAGAAGGTCTTGATTATTGGGTTGGAGATGAGTTAGATATGTTGGAAATAGAGCCGGAAGCTGTAGAGGGAAAATTCAGAAAAGAGAGGTTCTACCAGTAGGTCTATGTACTACTAGTAGAAAGGCTCTCTAGAATAAGTAGAATGATTTTTTACCGGTAGGTGGACTTGTGTTCTACTGGTAGAAAAGGCTACTGGAATTTGAAAGAAAAAGGGTTTACTAGTAGATGATCTATTTCCTACCGATAGGTTGTTCAACGTGAAGGTCCTAAGTAGTCGAGTGCTTTCTACCAGTAGGTCAGTGATAAACTTCAACAAAGACTCCTTCTCCCCGCTGTTGATTTGCTAAATATTCAAAGATTTTCCAAGATCTTTACTTGAGAAGAAATAGATAAGATAGGAAATGGATTTTAATTGGCCATATCTTTGGAGATTTCTTTGGAGAAATTTTTGAAGATTTTCTATAAATAAAATATAGACATAAAAAGAAAGATAATCTCTAAAAATTAGCCATGTCTTTCTCTTCTTTTTCCTATAACTACCAACCCATAGGGGATTTTTATAGTGACCTTCTTCCTCGGATGTTCTCCAAGAGGGGTTGCTCCTCCTTTGTCATTGTTCTACATTTAGTCGCAAGCACGAGTCTTCATTATTTTTCAATTCCAAATTAAAGTATTTTATTTATTGTAATTTCCTTTAAATTTTAATTTCAATACAAGTTTTATTAATTTACTTTTATTTACTTTTTTAACTACTTTCAATTTTACTTTCCTTATGTTCGAGTAGTCTCTTTTCCGGATAATCGGAGGAGGGATTGTTAACCTGTGAACTAGGATTTATACTTTAAATTAGGGTTTTTATGATAAATAATAATTGAAGTCCCTGCAATCGATTGGATAAAAATTATTCTATCAATTTATTTGTCAGCAAAATCACTATTTTCACTAATTGAAACTTTCATTGAATATCACACGACTACAGGAGTTTGATTATAAACTTGAATGAGTTATAGATTTAGAATGTAAATTTATATTCATGGGTGGGATGAAACTGTAACGCCCCAAAAACCCCCGTGGGTGACATTACATTCTAAAAACCATTTACCGTATGAGAGCATTAAGTAAAATTCATCACGACGAAAGTTTCATTCATCAACCATTCATATTTTAACAAAATTTGGGCAGAGTCTCCTTTGTACGGGGAGCTCTACCCAAAACACAACCTGTACAATTATATTACAATTGACCACACCGGGTCCACATATGCATAACTATTGACCACACCGGGTCCATTTTTCCATCATAAAATAAACTTGCATTCATCATATGTCATATCCACACTATCATCCCAAATTAATAGGTCTAATCTTGGCCTTTACATCTCCAAAATGTAATAATATAACGCAGCGGAAATAACAGAAATGAACTAGAGTTCAAAAGGATATTCTAAGCATAATCTAGTCTAGAACAAAATAAAAGTGTCGCTCTAAGCGTCCACCTCGGGATCCACATCCCCGTCAAGCGGAGTCTTCCAATGGGTGGGCTCCTCGGCTCCTAACTCCTCCTCAAGTGTGAAATCTGAAAAAATTTTATTTGTAGGGGGTGAGCACGAAGCTCTGTAGCAAAATCCTCTCAACTCAAACAAGGTTTGAAAAACATAGCAAACGGTCGGTCTCATTTCACAACTAACATATATATAGGTTTGGAATGAAAACAGTGACATTTTAAAAGAGATCTCAAGTTTAAACAATAGCAATAATCAGTTAAAAGAATAAAGTGAGTTTAACATCGATAAACAAAATTCTAATTTAAGCTATTTAAGAAGGGCTTCTCCCTAAGTATTGTCTCATACCAATGCATCGGCAAGAACGACCCAACTCCCAATTCCATGTATTTTTGGTTCATCCTCGTACCATGTATGTTGATTGCTTCTCGTGAATCTACCTAACGATCATGCCTAGTCCANTTTACAATCCACCCCCCTTAAAGAAAGTTTCGTCCTCGAAACTTACCTCAAATAGCGAACAAATATGGATATTTCTCTCGCATCTCCCACTCCAGTTCCCAAGTTACTTCCTCTACGCCATGATGTTGCCACAGGACTTTCACCAGCTGGATTACCTTGTTGCGAAGCACTTTCTCCTGGATATCAAGAATCTTCACCGGCTGCTCTTCATAGGTGACTCCATCTTGCACTTCAATATCCTCCAAATCCACGACATGCGACGTATCTGGTTGACATTTCCTCAACATCGAAACGTGGAACAC